TGAAACTGGGTCACGTGAGCAATAGGCACTTGAGTGGAGGGTGCTTGTGCTTGCACGTGAAGCTCCACTTGTGCAAATGGAGGGTGCTTGTGCTTGCACGTGAAGCTCCACTTGTGAAAATGGAAGGTGCTTGTGCATGAAGCTCCATTCACACAAATGGAGCTTTGAGCACAAACACACTCCGGTCCCGCGAGTGGAACTTTGCACGCAAGCACCAGCGCCCTCCATTCGTGAAAGTGGAGCTTCGCATGGAAGCACAAGTGCTCGTCGCTCGTGCGAGTCGAGTTTTGCATGCAAGTGCTCCCCCACTCATACGTGAAGCCCCATTAGTGCGAATGGTGGAGCTGTGCGCACACGCATGCACCTGACACACACACACACACACACTTTGGGCTGGGAGACCAAAGTGGGAAGTTGGGACCAATTCTCTTTAGAGTTGACTATAAAGGATGTAGTAATCTTTTCCTTTTTCAATGGCTTTGATTTAATGGACTAGAAGTAATCTAATAATCACAACAAATGAATGGGAAGATTCCACCCCCCTGCTGATTAGCCTGCACTTTTCCAAATTCAATAAGCATGCAAACAGCGGTTGCTAAGAAAAGCTTCCCACTCAGAATGTCTTTTTTAATACCACACAAATGACTCAAATACCACATCGTGAGAGTGGAAGGAAAAAGAAAGAAAGAGGGGGAAAAACAAAACATTTGCAGCAACTAGACTTGTCAACCTGATAGGCAAACTACGATGAAAGATAAGGAAAAATAATTCTTCACATGCATGAAGAAGTTTGTTGGGGAGCTGAAGGGTGTATTCCTTCCACCCAGACTTTATATTTAGTATCTGCTTTGGGCCAGCTGTGGCAAGAAACAAAAGCAAAGATTAGAAAAGATAAGATTAACCATGGAGGCAAAGAACCTCTGAGACGTGAGCTGAAGATGCCAGATTAAAAATATTAAATTATATATGTAGTTAAATATCTTGTTCAACATTTTAGGGTCAATGTGCAAAATGTGTTTTTGAAGGTCGTAGGAGAGTGAACTTAGCACCTTTACAAGGTGTTTTCTCAGAACCAATCCTGGGGAAGAGAGCAGCTGCTTTAAGGGTCTCAGGACGGGCTGCATTTGCACAGCTGTGCCCTCCCATAAACTGTTTGGAGACTGAATCTGAAGCACTGCACAATCCTAATTTAATCTGCTTTGATTTTGAATGTAGATCCTGCACTTCCATAACCATGGTTTGAAGATTTGTTTTCAAACTGAGGCTAGATAGCCATTTGTTAAGGTATTAGGCTCTGGATTTCTTCACTAGCCAGATGGTTGAATGTATCTGCCCAAATGATTCCTTCCAACTCTATGGTTCTTTGGAACTCTTTAAGAATTCTGCGTGGTTAATCAGCAGTGCTATTTCGTGTCACACAGCACCCCCTGGCATGACCCAGGTGGCATTGCATGGAGAACATGAGTCCAGTACCTTGGAGAGCTCCTGCATGAGAGTGCTATTTTGCAGCCTGAAGTCATCCTCTTGGCTATGCAGTTTTCCCTGAAGCATTTCATTTTCACTAAGCAGTGCGTCCACCTCCTACAAAGTCAACAAAATTGCATGAGATCCCACACACATAATCACTGCAAGGTTCACTTCCTTCCACTAGATGGCAGGCCCAAGTCTTCAAGCAGATTGGGCCTCCTTTGCCCATCTCCTAACAATATTAGGAAATGTTCTCACCTACTACCTTCCTGCCATTTTTGCTATTCAAATTCTAGATGGTCCATATTATGCCACGCGCCTTAGTTCGTGATGGAATGCCAGCAGTTATGCAGTGGTTAACAGAGAAATTGGTTGCAAAATGTACCCAAGAAGTGGAAATCATATTTTCTATTGCATCTAGACCATTGTCAACTGCTTCTCTCTTGCATTTCTCAGACCAACTAAGAGGCATGTGCATATGAAAAGTCTTTTTTAAAAAAATTTGGGGGCTTCTGAATATCTGCATTAAAATTTATTCGTTTATTTAGGAAATTCATCTGTCACCCATCTTGTATCCAATAACTCTAAATCATAGCTTAACAAAATCTGAGAACTAAGATTGCCCTGTTTGGTTTAGATTGCTTAAATTCTGTTTCGTCAGAAAGTTAAATTCATCTGGAAGAAGGAAAGGAAGACTTGCAGAGAAGTGAGAGGCAAAACAAAAATATTAGAAACAAGTGATGGCAGATGGTCCAGGCAGGACCGAGCTTAACATGGCAATTGATACTATATACTGACACCTTACCTGAGCTTTTTTACTCTTATTCAGAGCCTGTGAAAGAGAGAAAGTTGTTAATAAAGCACCAATAAGATTCAGGCACAGCGTCAATTGTACAACATTCTGATTTTTAATCCTGTTTATTGTTTACACTCCCAAATCCTATGAAGAATGAATACAAACTCCTGTAATTATAGATTTTGAATTTGGTTAACTCTTTTAAAATCCCAGTTGTGTCTTTCCACTGTTTAGGAATGGGAATGCAATATGAGAGAAGATTGTCCACAAGTATTATTGTACAACATTTTAAAACTCAAAATATTTGGGTTTTTTTTCACCAATTAATGAAATATTTATTGTGTAAGAGAGTAAAGTAAATAAACTTCCCACTGCTTTCTAATCGGGATCTGATAAGTAAGCCTCTCACTTCTGCATGAAAAACAGAATAAGGGGCATAATGCATAAACAATGCCAAATCCCTCCCATCCCAAACACTGGATCCAGGAAAATTTATGAGTTGCATTTCTTCTTGGGGGAAGAAGTTCCTCCACGTAGGCTTCTTCGATGCTCTTGTTAAAATGTGGACAGGCATTTTGGTCCGGTCAACAGCCTTTCAAGGATCCTAGTAGGCTAAACTGCATACACTCCAGAAGAGCCTGGCTCACATTAAGCCTGCCAGCAACTGTGTAACATTTCACTTACACCTTCCGTTATGAGATCCTCAGTCTCTCAAGACATTTGGAGAAGGCATGCTAGGAAAAGAAGGAATCAACAGGCCAGGCCATTTCAGGAGGCAAAGTGCAGATCATCTTCCTCTCTGATCTCTCTCCCCCCCTTCAACCATTCCACATGTAGAATGAGCTCCTGTTTTCCATTTGCAGAAACATCTGGATCGGTGTGTTGTTTGCTAGAAATTTCCTGTTTCCGGTATCTGGTATAATCACATCTGCAAAATCTGCAGCTGGCCGCCATTTGAAACCAAAACTCAAAATATTTGAATGTAAAAGAGAATAGTAAGGAAGAGTTGGTATCACAATTTTTCATTTTAAGTTATATGAGTTTTTTAGCCAGTTTTATCCAGAGTACAGTATAAAAAACAAGAAATGTCCACTAATGCTCTGTGATACCTTGGTGATATTACCCTCAAAGGAAAATTACATTTTATACTAATGTACACCAACATGCATTTATACACTCATTGTTCCATTTAAGAGTCTCACTTTACCTTCTGAGCCTTAGCAAAGTCTTTGTCTAAACAGGAGACCCGTTGTCGGAGCCCATTTAATTCTAAAAAAATCAAGAGAAAAACAAATCACAATTAGGAAAATATTGTAGAAACAGAACACCTGTCTTTTGCCATCCTGAACATGTAGAATAAGATATAAAATATAGTATCTGACCCTAAATTTAAAAAAAAAACATTCTGAGCACTTATAAAATCTGTTACTAGCCCTCAGTTCTATCAGTCTCCCAAATGTAAAAGAATTTATGCAGCAATGCATACTTGCTTGGCCTTGTGAGCACCAAAATAAAAGACACATCAGACTTAGAGCAATAGCAATAGCAGTTAGACTTATATACCGCTTCATAGGGCTTTCAGCCCTCTCTAAGCGGTTTACAGAGTCAGCATATTGCCCCCAACAATCCGGGTCCTCATTTTACCCACCTCGGAAGGATGGAAGGCTGAGTCAACCCTGAGCCGGTGAGATTTGAACAGCCGAACTGCAGAACTGCAGTCAGCTGAAGAGGCCTGAGAAGTATTGCAGCAAGATACACAAGGGATCGTTTTAATTATAAATTGATTTTAATTGATTTTTTAAAAAAGATTTTTAAACACTTCAAAATGATACAGAAAACATAGTCATATTAAATATGGGAAAATCAATAAAGGAATAACAAGAAGAAACAAAAAACTAAATGAAATCTTATTTTCTCTCCAAGAACCAGAGAAGATACAGGGAAGGGGGAAAGAGGTGAATGTTCTCACAGTAGTTTTCTGAGCACAGAATAAATATGTGTTTGCCAAATTCCTGAGAACTTTATTCGGCTTTTGCTCTTTGCATGGAAGGATGTGGTGCTGAATAGGCACCGAAGCCTTATTCTCAAACCATAAGAAATCTGTCTGCTCCTAAGATTTCATCATACATCGTCTATGCATCTTCAAACATAACTTCACAATCAAATCGCTGAGAAAGCCATTTCTTTTAAATAGGAACTGAATTCTATGGCCAGTTTTGCATTCTAGCTATTTCTTGTAACTTTTCATAGCTATTCGTTCCACTGCTTTTCTTTCTACTACGCCTTTCCTCTGAATTCCAGATGTTGCAAGAATCATGCTAAACCAGCATGACTGAACCAGCACAACCATATGCAAATGTAAGCATATATGAATAGGTGCAGACATATTGATGCTTTCACACTGGGTACAAAATGTAATGGCTCAGATCATAGTGTCACTCAGGAAGTAGAATTGAGGAGAAAGTCTTACCAACTGCGTTCTTGCGGAGTTCATCAGAGAGCTGGTAATTCTGTGTTCGAAGTTCTAGTAACTGGGCCTACCGAGAGGGGGAGGGGGAAACAATTTTAATAAAAACCAACCATACCAGGAAATGTCATATAGATGACTTGGCAGGATTAAGGCCAGCTTGGTTTTTAATGAAAATTAAGGCAGGAACCAGCAGCCTCTTCGACAGAGATGTCTGCTTAGCTTCATGACCATTGTGGGGTATGCCACATATCCATTAATTCAGATGTTGTACGTACAAACGTACATCTTTCCACTGAGAGTGACAGGGGGCAACGTCAGTTCTGCATGCTTTACTCCTGATTACAAAAAAGGATTCTAATCTAGTCTGAACCAAGTCTGGGAATCACTGCCAAGTCAAGCTAAGGAATTGAACTAAAGCCATGATGCATTGGGAGATTTATGCTTGAGATCAGGAAACCCAACAGTTCATTTCAAAGCTTGGGCTCTGAACATATATTGTTTGAGATGCAGTGCGTATGAGCCTTTTGCAAATTGTGAGCAACATTGCTACTAATTCTTAACTACTTTAAAAATAACTCTGTATTATTCCTGACTGACAAAACGAGATAAATATTAGTCCAGAAGTGCCATTACTGAGGAGGCTTTGAACCCAGTTATCCAAAATTCATCCAGTGAATCAGACTGGCTTTTAAGAGTTGGAGAAAGAGGATGCAAAGAAAATGGAAAGGCTTCTATTGCCCTGTATTATGATCTATAAAACTTAGTCTTATAAATTTGGTAGGGGGGCAGTATTTTCCCCACTTATTCTTCTACCCTTATAAGGCCTTGAAAACTACACTCCAAGTGAGTCTTCTATCAAACCTATCGCAGCATACATCGTACTTCTAATTCTGGGCTGGCAATCACAAAGGTTAGCTGTTGCAATAACTAAGATAGCTAATATCTCTGCTCTAATTCTGCACCCTCCTCAGAACACCAGAAATTCTCAAGTTGTGCTGAACATATGAGGAAAAAATCCACATTAACCTGCTTTTTCCCTCTAGGAAGATATTTGTACTTCAGCACCAAACAAAAATGAAGTATTAAGCGAGAAGTCTATGGAGATTCTCAGTCATCCAGGTCATGGTTGTCCCAAAGGTGCTTTTTCAAGAGGTAATTGGACTTTCAGAAAGTCCTATTACCAGAGAGTTGCAAAGAACTCTGCAGATATCAAAAACTAAAGGTAAAATATTTGTTTGAGCCAATAATAAGAAAACCAATAATCGGCCAAGTTCCACGTGGCATTGCAAAAAATGTACAGTGTCCACATATGCTGAATTTATTAAAAAAAATATTATTAAACCTCTGTGCTGCCCATCTCACCAAGACTGGTTACAAAACTGATCGACTCTTTCACTTGTAGAATTTTCCACCAGGCGCAAAAGATTAAATAAGGATCAGTAGACAGAGTTTTATCTGTGATCGCAAGGCAAGAAATAAAAAGGAGGGATGGAACATATGCTCTCGCTGTATTCAATAGAACAGTGTTTCTCAATCTTGGCGACTTTAAGTCCTGTGGACTTCAACTCCCAGAATCCCCCAGCCAGCACAGATTCTGGGAATTGAAGTCCACAGGACTTAAAGTCGCCAAGGTTGAGAAACACTGTTCTATTGAATACAGCGAGAGC